ATAGCAATTGTAACTTTACATTAAAACAAATAAGATAACTATTGCCTAATTAAATATGCTCACAATTTTTACTAAAATTATTATTATAATAATTATGAATACATTTCTAACTTTTGCTGCAAATACTGTCGAAGAAGGTTATTCTCATTGCTTAATAGTAACAAATATGACCAATTACAATTGACATTTTGTTAATTATTAATGATTTTAATAACAATAAATTTATAAAAATTATATTTTAGATGCGATTAAAAGGTTGAGAACAGAACTGTTTAAGAATCGGGATTACAATTCAATGATAATACCCGTCAAAAAGTGGAACAATACTATTAACGTTTCAATAAGTTATGCTTTACGTAAAATCATTGATTTGGTAAACAATTATTTTAATCAATTATAATATAATTTCTGATATTTATTACATAATAGGATATTAATTCCCAGATACTGACAACTGAGGGCTGGTTTTATATGACCTGGTATTGTATCATAATTGATCATAATTTAAATGTATAATTAATATGCAAATAACGGCAATATTTGTCTACAGGTTTGATGAGCATCTGACGTGGAAAAGGGAAGATTATGGTGGAATCGGTACCATTCGTGTCAAACAGGATGAAGTCTATATACCCGACATATTTTTATTAAACTCGGCGGACGTCATGTCAATCAAATATAATGTGATTCAAACTAATCTACTGTTATTTAATAACGGACGGTTGGTTTGGGTTCCGCACATACTATTCAAGTCTAAATGTGAACTGGACTTAACCGACTGGCCATACGATCAGCATAATTGTGGCATACAGTTGGTCACGTGGTATAACGACGGTCTGGTTATCAATATATCTGCGGGTAAAATATGATACAGTACCATATTGTTTTAACCTATTATAATACTTATACCTTATATTAGACTCCAAACTGATTCTCAATCACTACTGGAAGAGTGAGGAATGGGATGTCTTAGAGACCGAATCGGAACGATTGTCATACGATATATCAGTTACAAACATACATTACCCGGACATCACATTCACAATGAGATTGAGGCGAAAGACATCTCTCTATCACTACACGGTCTTCATTCCCGTCACGACTGCTGTTATTCTCAATCTTTTGATGTTTTGGTTTTCAATCCGATCTAACGTCAGATTCCTGTTGTCATCTCTAAGTCTATTACTTTTAACAATTATTTTATTATATTTGGGATTAAAATTTAGTTTCGGAACAAACACTATGCCATACGCCGGTATATATAACCTCATGCTTTTATACATGCATTTAAAAATTTTAACACAATGTAATTAAAATGTATTTCTCAGTCCATTATATAAGTCGAATAATATTAACAATTGGTTTAACTCTGGTTTGGACTACAATTGCACATAACGTACAGAATCTGAACATTCAATTGCCTGACGCTATGAGACGAGTGACGGCTACCACTCAATGGCTTGTCGTCTATTCAGGCAATGAAAACAGCGATACAATTGGCTTAACAAATGAGGATAACGTTAATACTAATCCTAAGGATAAATCACTTGAGATATTAATCCTATTAACTGATAAACTAATGTTCGGAATATTCTTTATTGTTATTATTTCATTACATCTTTAAAATAAAACATAATTAATAAATATGTTTACAAATATATAACAAAATAACATTAAGGAATGGGTGTTTTGCTGGAATGCATAACGTTTTTTAACGTGACATAATATAGTGAATTAATAAAGGTAATAAAGAAAATGTAACAAGTTGTGAGAGGCCGCTCGATGTCTTAAACTACAATTTAATGTTGAATTTTGTGTTAAGGCATTCATTCCCGGTTTATAACGTTAAATCATATAACACTTCAAATGAAATTACAAAAAATAACATTTTGAGCAAAAAAACAAAAACATGTTTTAAAAATCAATGAACAAAGCAAACAAAGAAATTGTATTTTAATTTATAGTGAATGTCTTGATTTTAGGCCCTCTTTTTAGATTCACTGTTAGTATTACTAATAATACTGTGGATATCATTGTCGGCAAAGAGACCATTGATCTCATTGTGATACTGTTTCTCGACAATTCTGCGCTTCATTTTCATGGCTGAGGTCAACATATCGTTGTCGGGCGTCCACTCGTCGGGCACCAGCCGTATCCGCACCGGTATCTCCCTTTTGCTAATGCCGGCCGACTGTCCCGTCTGTACGATCGCCGCGTAAACCCGTTTGCAAACGTCGGCGTTTCGGCAAAGATCACCGATTTGTGTGTCTTTTAGACCCAACTCTTGGGACAATTTCTGGAGATTCTTTTGATTAGGGCTGACGAGTGCTGTCAACTCATTGCTATAAGTGCCGCCACACACGCAGATGTTGTCCACGTATTGGCACGACTTCATCAGCGCTTCGATCTATAGGTGGTTGGGATTAAAAATCATTATTTCTTCGTTTAAATGTTTTTCAAATTGATGTGAAATAAATTTGGATTTACTATAAATTACTAAATAATATTCCTTAAACTTAAATAAAACCATAATATAACCATGGTGGACAACTGCTGTAAATATGAGAAATATAGACTCACTTTTCCGAGCGAAACGTATTCAGCGTTTTGTAATTTAATCAAATCTTTTCGGCGGTCAATGATTTTGAAGGTCCCGTCGGCGAACATCTCTCCGATATCTCCCGAATGAAACCAACGGACGCCCCTCTCGTCCACTTCAAACGCCTCCTGTGTTTGTTCGGGCAGTTTATAGTAACCCATAACTATTGAGTCGCCGCCAAATACGATCTCTCCCCTCGGGTTTGGCTCATCTGACCGGTGATATCCGCCCTGATGTCGGTTAAAACAAGTAATTGTTATGTAAATAAGGTATTTATATGCTTTTCCAATAAATGATTACTAACTTCCGCCCAATCGACTAGTTTCACTTTAACGCCCTGAAGAGGTATACCCACTCGACCGTAGGACAGGTCATCGAAGTCCATACCTGTCGGTCAAATCAAATACAGATAGTAAGCAATGCCATAATCAAAACAATATGTAAAATATAACACATCAATATAAAGTACATACAAAACACAGCGCCCATAGTTTCTGTCGCGCCGTACCCTTTAATAAAATACAAAAACAAAATTGTTATCAACTTTAAGAATATTGAAATGAAAATATATTTCAAACAATTTTTAATTAAATTTGTAGCAAAAACTTATAAAAAAAATAACAACAAACTTCTTACCCTGAATTAACGTAAGATTGAGTGCGGCTTTGATTGTGGCCTGTGTTGTGTGGTTAAGTGGAGCGCCGCCGACGATCATCACCTTAAGCCGACCGCCCATTTGTTGCTGTATTTTACTGCACACGAGTTTATTGACGAGCGGACAGTCGTATCCCATTTGAGTCCACTTTGCTTTGTAGCCCATTATGTATGTGAAGAAGTCTACGG